GAACTAGCTTCTACCACGTAATCCACGTTACGTGATATGGAATGGGGAGTAAGCAAAAGCCCTTTTGGCGTTTCTGCTGGGGCCGTATGCTGAATGTTGGGGAGGGGATGGGGTCCCCGAGGTCGACGGACTACTTCAACTCGGTCGGTACGGTAGGAGAGTGATGACGAAGTGGTGCAGCTAGGTCCAGCAGCTCCGCCAAAAGGGCTGGTTTGCTTACCCCAGGACTAAGCCTTGGAGAGAGGACGGACCTGCGCTCTCTTGCAGGTCCGTCCTCTCTTTAAGGCTTAGTCCTGAGGTAAGCATCAAATTGAGGCGGTTTAAGGACCGAGTTGAAGTAGTGCACTGTCGACAAACCGCTCGCACCGCCCATCTCCATACTGCAACATTCAGTATATGGCCCAAGCAGAAAGGCCAAAAGGGCTGGTTTGATTACTTCTGGAATGTGCCGACGTATCTCGTCCGTAAGTTCATAATAGTCGCCATCAGCAGTTACTTTGTGAGGTTCCGCGCCGCGTTTTCTAGCGCGTAATACGTTACGTGTGATACTCTGTCACAGGCCTTAATTACATGTATTCCCTATCGCATAGTAATACATTTGTCCCACCTAATCACCTGGGGTTGCTGCTTTGCGCTCCCCATTGCGCTCGCAACCATTTGAGAAGTCAACACCTCGTGAAGGAGATGCGTACATACACAGATTCTCTTGTTTTTAGTGAAAGTAGGGTCTTATCGTAATCATGATTATGTTAGAATGCTACCTAGAGGCAAAGTTCCACGTCATGAGTGGTCATGGCCGCAAAGAGAACAACTAGTTAGGCCATTCTGCGCGAGCGTGAGCCTCCTTGTAACTGCTGCGCTGAAGATAAACCAAAACAGACCTGTAATTGTAGCTACAGTATTCGAAATCGATGAAAACCAAAGGATCCGCTTCATGATTGCCATCATTTGGACGCTTTATGCAGCCGTCATCATTGAGTTTACATTCATCGCAGAGGAGAATGTTTCCTTCCTAGAACGAAAAAAAACCTGACATTTTCACGAAAATCTAAACGAAAAACGACAGCGAACCAATCAGTCTCGGAAAAAAAGCATTTCGCTCACCTGTGAGGCTCATCTATGGAGAACACTCCACAGGCTGTTTAGCTCTTCAATACAAGAAAATCCGTCGACAGAAATTTGCAGCTGCTTGCTCGAGTCTCAATCACAGGGTGAGTTAGATGACGGATACTGAAAAATACACGAGTGCGAACGATCTCTCGTGAGATGAGCCACGAATAGTTCCAGTTGTCCACAAGTGTCACTTATCTTTTGCGGCCTGGAGCGATAGGAGATCACTGTAAGCCTTTTATCACATTTTTCTAGTAAATAATTCTTTGACTAACCGATTCACGAGGTACACGAGCGGCTGTGCAGTACAATTTGATTGGTCGGCACGCTCCCGCTTGTTTGACAGGAATTTAGTCACCCAACCAGACAACGAGCGCAGGTCATCCACTTCTGGCTCTTAGTACTCGGCACATCAAGGTAATGCACTGGCTCCTTAGTAATCGGCACATCAAGGGTGTGCACTCGTGCCAACATTGGCGCAATTATACGTCCAATTCTGAAATCAATTCTTTTGTCTTTAATTATGACGAGAGGGCGGAAGTGGTGTAGTGGCAAGTGGCACGCTTACCACGCGAGCGGTCCGGGGATCAAATCCTGGGTCGTGAGTCGCCCGGGCCAACCAAGCCTTCCATCCCTCCGGGGTCGGTTAATTGGTACCAGACTTGTCTGGGAGGATAAAAACACTGACTTGTACATCGGCTGGCCCCCGCAAGTCATTGTATAGGCCACATCGCATTCAAACGCCACTACGAATGTACAAATGGAAGTAGAATGCGTGCCGCATCCCAAAAGGGCAGATGTTTTTTTATCCTTATGGAACGACATCTCATCGCTTTTTCTGACCGGATATTCGGGAATGTAAAACTATAAGGCTAGAGTGGTCTGAATTGTTGAGCCAGTGGACGTAGTATAAGCAATCTCTTAGCAACTAATCGACCCATTTCAAATACCAGTCAGTAGATCGTGGCACCTACTTAAAGGTGCACTTTACAATTGAAAGGCAGCTACAAATTCCTGTAACTCAGACGAGGTTTTCCGAGAAGATCCGCCCACCAAATGACTCCACCCACTTACATGCATAACACATACATATCGACATCGATACATACATACAAAGACCCATATACGTAGCCAAACTCCGCCTCGGATATTGTGATTGCTCAGGGGTGCTGTGATGAAGAAAAAACCATGCGAAAAGGCAGAGCTCGAGAAATGGAACCCCTTCCTCGCCCGTTGATTCCGCATTGATGCAACTCTCATCGGTGCTGCCCTCTCAACGCTAACCCTCTCCCTGCTGAAAGGCTGGAGTCCTGCGGCGAGTGGGATCTCGGTTAGCTAGCCAGTGGACGTGCCGTGCTAGTAGCGCAAGGAGGGCAATGTTAAGTCGTCGAGGCATATCCACCTTTTCGTGAAATCGTCCCTTCAAATCAATTAAATCAAATCGAAGACCTAGTAATAGACCGCGGTTTAGTAAAGGCAGGCACTGATGGTAGATGTGAAAGCGCTATGAAGAAGACGGCATTGGTCAACTCCTTAAGATACGTATTCAAGACTCTTCAAGACTCTTCAAGGTACGTCAGATATTCTAGTTCCATTCGGAACTGCTGTGGCAATTGAATGAAATCTGGCCTTTACAGTGACTAGCGGGAGAGACTGTGCAAGTATGTAGTGGTTTGATCCTACCAGTACTAGTACCGGTTAATAAACCCAGAAAAGAAGTATTGCTTGATGAAATATGGAGGGTTCGCTTTGTATGAGTTCGATGTCAGATTTGACCCCACATCCTGGAAGCGTGCTAAGTTTAACTACTTGACGCTATTGCACCTTCGTGCCCAAGCCTATTACCTCGTTTCAAAAGAAAGTACCCGAAAATTTTCTAAGTGTCGATAACTATAACACGGAAAACTTTTGTCACAAGTACGTGCTTCTTTATTGAGCAAAATGTTCTCGTTGAATCACTGAAGGAACGAAATTAACACGAAAAAAAAAACTTACGCAGGTTTGCTGATTTCGAGACATGTAAGCGGTCGGCTGGGAATGAACTGCTCAAAACGACCACCAGGGAAACACTCCAAGAAGCTTCGGGCCAAGGCATCGTTCTAAACACAAATGTGCGTGATATGAATAATTAGCCGCCAAAAAGTGGATCCTTTCAAGGATTCATAAGTCTGTCAGACTGTGACACTTAGGTGATCCACG